GCTTCCCAGTCCACAGTCCCCAGTTGTGCCATCCCGCGGGCTTCGTGGCCCACGGCCCCGGCTTGTGCCATCCGCGGGCTTCACGGCCCACGGCCCCGGCTTGTGCCATCCCACGGGCTTCCCGGTGCACGGCCCCGGGTTGTGCCATCCCATGGGCTTCCCGGCCCACAGCCCCGGGTCGTGCGATGCCGCGGGCTTCCTGGTCCACGGTCCCCAGTTGTGCCATCCCACGGGCTTCCTGGCCCACGACCCGGCTTGTGCCATCCCGCAGGCTTCCCAGTCCATTGTCCCCAGTTGTGCCATTCCGCGGGCTTCCCGGTGCACGGACCCTGGTTGTGCCATCCCACGGGCTTCCCGGCGCACAGCCCCGGGTTGTGCCATCCCATGGGCTTCCCGGCCCACAGCCCCGGGTCGTGCGATCCCGCTGGCTTCCCGGTCCGCGGTCCCCGTCCCCGGTTGTGCCATCCCGCGGGCTTCCTGGTCCACGGCCCCGGCTTGTGCCATCCCACGGGCTTCCCGGTCCATGGTACCAGCTTGTGCCATCCCACGGGCGTCCTGGTCCACGGTCCCGGGTTGTGCCATCCCGCGGGCTTCCTGGCCCACGACCCCGGCTTGTGCCATCCCACGGGCTTCGCGGCCCACGGTCCCCGGTTGTGCCATCCTGCGGGCTTCGCGGCCCACAGCCCCGGGTCATGTGATCCCTCGGGCTTCCCAGTCCATGGTCCCCGGTTGTGCCATCCCGCGGGCTTCCTGGTCCACAGCCCCGGCTTGTGCCATCCCACGGGCTTCCCGGTCCACGGTCCCGGGTTGTGCCATCCGGCGGGCTTCCTGGTCCACGGTCCCGGGTTGTGCCATCCCGTGGGCTTCCCGGTCCACGGCCCCGGGTCATGCGATCCCGCAGGCTTCCTGGCCCACGGCCCCGGGTTGTGCGATCCCCAGGCTTCCTGGGCCATGGTCCGGGGTTGCGCAGCCACAGGGACGCGCGGCGGGCACCGCGACCTCGGGCGATTTCTGGGCGGACATCTAGAGGGTGCTGACCCAGCGGTTCAGGCTGCTGCTACCTGAGGTGCACCCTCTGCGAGGTGGACACATTGGCCACCGGCAGCCGAAGGGGAACATGTTTGGGCTTACAAAAAAGACAGCCAGCCAAGGGCACAGCCCAGACAGCAGACAAGGGAGGAGTCGGGGTGACGCGTGACGCCTCTCACTGGGACTTGGCGCGTCAGCATCTGAGGAGAGTGGGGAGGTTCTCGGGTTCTGACGAGGGGGCCAGCGTGCGCTCGAACCTGGGCTGGGCACAGGGACGCTTTCATCCGCGCAGTGCTCGGTGGGGTCCGCCGCCACACTGTGTGCCCTTGGGCCGTGACTTCCCCTCTCTGGCCTCAGTGCCCTCACCTGTACACACACGGAGGCTAAAGTCAGTTCCTGGGGCAGGCGTGCAGCACGCCACATCCCATCTGAGTGCTGAAGCCAGCATTGCCAAGGCACGCGCTGCAGGACAGCCGATGGTAGCTCACGCGCTGCCTTCCCTGTCACCCACGCGGGAGGAAGACCAGAACTGAGGCCCAGGTGCCCGGTTTCAGCTTGACTCTGGCTGTCGGAGGCATTTGGGAAGTGAACCAGTGGATGCAGAAGTCTGTCTCTGTGTCTCTGCCTTTCAAATAAATAACAGATCAGTTAAAATTAAAAAAAAATCCTGAGTATCTAACTCAAAAAGCTGGTGTCATGGGGCTTGTGCATATGTCGGGATTGCCCTCTGTACATGCTAAGTGCTGGGCAGGTGTCACCTGTAATTGTCCAAGCATTGTAGCGCCAAAGGGCAGGGCTCCCGAGGCCGGGCAGTGGGGAGCCCCTGGCGGGAGTGTGGACTCAGATGATCGACGCCGTGGAGAAAGATAAAGCCACACAGGGTGGGAGAGGGAGCTGGCCCTGGGCGATCAGGGAGGCCTGGCTTCAGAGCTGTGCGAGGGAAGACCTGCAGGAAATGAGGAGGGGGCGTCCTGTGAGCTCCTCAGGGAGGGGGCTTCCAGGCCAGAAGGAAGAGAAGCACACAGGCTTTGAGGAAGGGGCACGCTCAGCACGTCTGCAGGAGGCCCGGGTGCGGCAGGGAGCCCAGAGTTAGAAGAGGCCCTCTGGGGCCGGCGCTGTGGCGTCGCGGGTTAAAGCCCTGGCCTGCAGGCCGGCATCCCATATGGGTGCTGGTTCAAGTCCTGGCTGCCCCACTTCTGATCCAGCTCCCTGCTAACGTGCATGGGAAAGCAGTGGAAGATGGCCCAGGTCCTTGGGCCCCTGGGAGACCTGGGAGAAGCTCTCTCTGTCTCTACCTCTCTCTGTAACTTTGTCTTTCAAATAAATAAATCCTTAAAAAAAAGAAAAAGGAGACGAGGTCCTCTGAGGTCTTGGAGGCCTCTGTGAGGACCGGGGCTGTGACCCTGAGCACTGAGCAGGCTGTGAGTGTGACGGCAGCAGGGAGTCCGGGGAGGAGGCCCTTGGATGGGAGTCATTCACTGGACAGACACCTCCAGCTGGTTTGCAGGCTCCTCCGTGGCGTGTGCAACCTGTTGTTTGTGTGGGCCGCCCTGAGGGACCTTGGAGACAGCCCCTCACAGTGGACATCCAGTCCTCTGGCCTCAAGCTGTTCCTAGTCCAGGCTGCAGACAGGGATGGGAGGTGCTTTTGGAAAGCCCGAGGCACCATGGCCAGGGTTCATCCTGGGCACTTTGGGCACCAAGGGTTCACCTCGGCCAAGTCGTCGTGTCCATCTGCCCCGAGCTGCAGAGCAAGCAGCCTGTAGCGAGGCCCCACGCAGGGCGAGCTCCAGTTCCCTGGGCACCAGCCAGTGCACATCTCAAAGAAGTGGGGCTTTCCCAAGTCTGGTGAGGATGGATCTGAAGACACAGTGGCTGAGAAGCGGCTCAGCCGGATGGCTGTGGGGCGGCTCGTCCCAGTCGTGGTCCCTTAGACTGGCGGTGGGCCCTCCTGTCACCAGGGCATCCCTGTTCTGCACATCATCGTCGTCATCATCATCGATAGTTAATCTGCATTGCTGTTAGCAACATGAAAAACGTGCATCTCGTTGGGGCATTTGGCACAACACGCATCCCAGTGACTGGGTCTAGTCCCAGCTCTGCTGCTTTCATTTCTTTTCTTTCTTTATTTCTTTCTTTAAGATTTATTTTAATTTGAAAGAGTTAGAGAGAGAGATAGATTACATCTGCTGGTTTACTGTCAGTGGCTGCCGTGGGCAGGGCTGGGTCAGGCTGCAGCTGGGAGCCTGAGCACGTGGGCCGTCTTCCACTGCCCTCTCGCACACGTTAGCAGGGAGCTGCCTCAGAAGCGGAGCAGCCAGGCTCAAACTTACAGTGCGCACAGGGAATGCTGGCATCGGCTGCTTAACCCGCTGCCTCCAGGTGCCTGCTCATGGTACGCCCCGGAAGACAGCAGGTGCTGCCACCCACGTGGGAGAGCAGGGTGGAGTTCTAGGCTCCTGTCTTCAGCTTGAGCCAGCCCTGGGTATTGCAGGCATTTGAAGAGTAACCAGTGAATGGAAGATTTCTCTCCCTCCCTCCCTGTCAGTCTGCCTTTCAAATACATACATAAATAAATATTTTTAAAAAACAATGAGGGCCGGCACCGTGGCTCACTAGGCTAATCTCCACTTGTGGCGCCAGCACCCCGGGTTCTAGTCCCGGTCGGGGCGCAGGATTCTGTCCTGGTTGCTCCTCTTCCAAGCCAGCTCTCTGCTGTGGCCCGGGAGTGCAGTGGAGGATGGCCCAGGTGCTTGGGCCCTGCACCCCATGGGAGACCAGGAGAAGTACCTGGCTCCTGCCATCGGATCAGCGCGATGTGCTGGCCACAGCGCACCGGCCGCGGCGGCCATTGGAGGGTGAACCAATGGCAAAAGGAAGACCTTTCTCTCTGTCTCACTCTCTCTCGCTGTCCACTCTGCTTGTCAAAAAAAAAAAAAAATGAGAAAGTTTGCTTGGTGTCCAGTCCAGATTCCAGGTCAATGGAGGCCAGCCAGGTGCACGTGTCCTGCTGCGCCGCTCAGCTGGCGTTTGTGCTGGACTTCGTGTGTGTGAAGGAGTCTGCCTCTGACCTGAGGGGCATCCGGCTGCCCCGTTTAGAAGCTCTGTCACACGCCAGAGCGGAGGCGGACCCTGGGGGAGAGAGGGGCTCTGAAAGGCTGGGCAGGACAGACAGGCTGGGAAGCAAGCTTGAGCCCTGCCTGGGTGCGGGCCAGGCCAGCCTGTCCACTGCCTGCCTGCAGCTTGACCCACCCCCTTCTTCTCCAGGGAGCACCCGACGGCAGCCATGGCGAGTGGCAGCGGGGACAGTGTCACCCGCCGGAGCGTGGCATCACAGTTCTTCACGCAAGAGGAGGGCCCAGGCATTGATGGCATGACCACCTCCGAGAGGGTGAGTGTGATGAGCAGGGCTTGGCACGGGGGCGCGCGGACCTAGGGTCCCCGGGTGGCAGAGCCGAGGGCCCCGTGGGGCTGGACTGGGCCGGCAAGGCCAGCACTGGCAGCGTTGTCCCTGCAGGTGGTGGATCTCCTGAACCAGGCGGCACTGATCACCAGTGACTCGAAGATCACAGTGCTCAGGCAGGTGAGTGCGTGGGGGCTGCCCTGTGAGAGTGCTGGGGGCACCGCTGGTGCCCGGCTGGGCGGTGGTGCGCGCCTGCCCTGGGCCAGGCTGTGCGGGCGTGTGTTCATTCATTCTCACCAGAGCTCCGGTGAGCAGGGCGAGTTCACCTACAGAAGGAGGCAGGCCACAGAGCTTAGTCCTCGGCACGAGGGCACCCTGCTGGTCACCCGTCAGCGCCCGAGCGCTGGCTCTCTGCTGGGTCCAGTCTGGAGGGGAAAGCATGCCTGTTGTCAGACGTGATGACCCCTCGTGCGCAGGGTGGGACAGAGAAACTCGGGGGCTGCGGGAGCCCATGGGCAGTGCTGCCCCAGCCTAGGCGTGGGGCTCCGGGGTGGCTTCCTGGAAGAGGGGGCATCTGAGCCGAGCCCTGGAGGAGGAGCAGCGCAGCCGAGTGAGAGAGGGAGGGGCTCAAGCAGGGGGTGCGGGGGCCAAGGGGAGCCTGGCAGCCTGGGAGCTGGCGTGGCTCACACTGGGAGGCAGGGGTCAGGCGGTCTCTGGGAGACTGGTAATGCGCACGCTTGGCCTGGCCTTGGGAGCCGAGTCCGCCTCTGCAGTGGAGGGGCTGCCGACATCCCCCGGCGGGGCATGGAGCTCATTCCACAGTGGCACCTGGAGTCGCAGGAGCAGGGTCCCGGGCCGGCCCAGGCTGCCAGGCTGTCTGTGGAAAGAGCTATTGCAGAGAGCCTGGCAGGTGCGGGGCCTCACTGTCGCAGGATGTGAACTGTGGGGGCAGTGGGCAGGTGGGAACGCAGTGGGGCCTGGGCACTCCCTCCTGTCTGGAGCCCCGTGCATCACATCCTTGCTAGGACCTACACTTCGTAGGTTCTCACTGAAGCCCCCAGCAGCCCTGAGAGTTGACGTTTAAGGTTCCCGTTTGACAGAGGGGTAAACTGAGGCGCAGAGGGGGAGACCGCTTGTCCGGGACTGTGCGGGGCGCGACAGGGCCGGGGATGGAGCTGTTTCCCTGCTGCCTGGCCCATGCTTCCCCTCGACTCTGGCTCCCGTTCCCACCTGTGTGCCGCCTCCCACCCCAAACCTTCCAGGTCCAGGAGCTGATCATCAACAAAGACCCCACGCTGCTGGACAACTTCCTGGATGTGAGTGACAGCAGCGCGGGCGGGGTCCCGGGCGGGGCTGCGGGGGCTGGCGCGGCCCACCCTGATCCGCCTTTCCAATGCGCAGGAGATCATCGCTTTCCAAGCAGACAAGTCCATCGAAGTGCGCAAGTTTGTCATCGGCTTCATTGAGGAGGCATGGTGCGGGCGGTACAGGGGCCCTGCGAGCAGCCCCGGAGAGCTGGCCCGCGCGCCTGGCCGGCCTGCCCTCCACCCCCAGCCGCACCCCCTCCCACACACCCCGGCTCCCCGCAGGCCGTGGTCAGATGGGCCCTGCGGTGTCTGCTCCACGGCAGACTCCTCCACGGCAGGAGCTGGCGGTCCTTGCCGCCGGGCTGGTCACAGCTGCCCTCCTGCCTGCCGGTGCGGCTGCGGTGGCCCCTCAAAGCCACGGCAGTGGCACAGCACTCTCACTGCCACTCCCACCCGCCCACGCCGCGTCCCTGCCCTCAGACCCCCGTGCGCCCGCCTCACTGGAGCGGAAACCCACAGCCCTCCACGTGGCCCCCCGCTGCGCGCTGTGCCCCTGTGCCGGGGCGGAGTGCACTCTGCACGGTGACAGTAACCATGTGGAAGGCCTGCCCGGCCGCGGCCTCAGGACCTGGTTGTCCCCCGTGGGCCTCACAACAGCCTCAGTGGGTGCTGAGCCTCCTCTCCTTACAGAGAGAAGCTGAGGCTCAGCGCGGCGAGTGACTTCTTCATTCGTCATCCATTAAACGTTTACTGGTGCTTGGTGACAGGCAGGGACAAGTAGCCTGGTTTCTTCCATATTTGCTGTTTGCCAGGCAGCATCTAAGTGTTTCACCCTCTTTGACCCTGTAATTGAAGACACAACCAAGGATTGGAGAGGGGCTGTGAGTTTTCTTAGGGTCCCACAGCGGCGAGGCAGGGCTGGGTTTCATAGCCGTGTCTGGCTCCAAAGCCCAGATGGTCGATCTGCCTGTTCCACTGGGAGAATTTGTGGGAAATAGAGTTTGCAAAAGCCCACCGACTCGTGGAGCAGCTGTGTCTGTGCCTGCTCTACCCAGCGTTTGTGTTGGGCTGTGGGGACACAGCAGTGAGCAGAGCAGGTGCTGGCGGCCTTCCTGGGTTCCGTGGTTTCTGCTAACGCAGTGAGTGCTCGCTCTCGGGCTGCAGTACACTCAGCCCTGGGGCTTGGCCTTCTCGGAGAACAAGCACTTCCTGGTTTCCAGCAGCAGCGCCCGCTGTAGGGAGGGGCCCGCTCTCAGAGCGCTCAGCTTCCGGTCAGCAAGGCTGCTGATGGCCTAGGAGAGGAGCGCCGGCAGGCCGTGGGGCTCATGTTCCCCGAGTGAGATGCCGGCGCTCGCTCAGGTTCCCTGGAGCAGCAGGGCCGCCCTTGGGGTGACTCAGGCCAGAGGTGTCACACTGGGTTCTCAGCCTCCGGGTGTACTGGCACCTGAGGCCGCTGCGGCCCGGACTCTGCCCCTGCGTTCCAGTGCCCTGAGACCCGGGCCCCAGGCTCCTGCCACCCCCCTGAGACCGCCTCTCCTCACCCTTCTCCCTCCGTCCGCAGCAAGCGGGACATCGAATTACTGCTGAAGCTGATCGCGAACCTCAACATGCTGCTGAGGGACGAGAACGTGAATGTGGTGAAGAAGGCCATCCTCACCATGACCCAGCTCTACAAGGTGGCCCTGCAGGTGAGCTGCCTCCCACCCGGGCACCTGCCCCTGATGCATCACGTTCCTGATAGGCAAAATGAGCCAGTGGTCTAAGGCGCACGCAGCGAGGAGGTCCAGCGTTGTCCACTGGGTTAGAGTCACCAGGAGCCCATTCGTTCATTCTGCAAACACGCCCAGCCCTGTGCTAGGTGGTGCTGCGGACACAGCAGTGGCCAGGGTGACCCAAGCCCAGCCCACTGCGGGAGACAAAGCCTAATAAAGAATGACACTGGTGTTTTGTTTATGATTTTGTTTATTTGAAAGTCAGAATTAGAAGCATCGTCTATCCTCTAGTTTACTCCCCAAATGGCTGCAATGGCCAGGGCTGGGCCAGGTTGAAGCCAGGAGCCAGGAGCTGCTTCTGCGTCTCCCACGTGGGTGCAGGGGCCTGAGCTGGACCATCTTCCACTGCTTTCCCAGGCAAATTATCAGGGAGGAGCTAGATTGGAAGTGGAACAGCTGGGGCTTGAACTGGTGCCCATATGGGATGCTGGCACTGCATATGCTGCCAGTTAACTCACTGCCACGGTGCTGGTCCCGGGAATCACATTGGTTTGATTGTGGTCTGTGACAGGAACAGAACACGGTGTGGCGTGATGTTCATTGGCAAGAATGAAAACATCTCACCCACCTTGGGAGGTCAGCATTGTTAATCCTTTGTCAGCCTCAAGATTGGAGCCTTTATCACTCTGGGTTGTCTGTGAGCCCCGTGGGGTCAGGGCTGGCCGGTCTTGGCTCGCGTTGCGTCCTGTCCCCAGCATTACCCGTGGCTGGAACTCAGTATTGTCCAGAACGAATGTGCATCTCATTGTTTATGGGTCTCTGGGTGGTAGTGCAGGGTTGATGGCTGATGTGAGGTCTCCATCCCTGTGTCCCTATCCCCCCGGCAGTGGATGGTGAAGTCACGGGTCATCAGTGAGCTCCAGGAGGCCTGCTGGGACATGGTGTCTGCCATGGCCGGGGACATCATCCTGCTCTTGGACTCTGACAACGATGGCATCCGCACCCACGCCATCAAGTTTGTGGAGGGTCTCATTGTCACCCTGTCGCCCCGCATGGCCGACTCGGAGATACCCAGACGTCAGGAACATGACATCAGCCTGGACCGCATCCCTCGTGACCATCCCTACATCCAGCACAGTGAGTGCCCTGCCACGTCCAGCACAGTGAGTGCTGCCCACCAGCTGGCGGCCTCCGGATGCTGCATCGGCTCCTGCCGCCTCTCTCGCTCTCCCCCGTCTGTTTTAGTTTTTATTTTTATTTTATTTTAAAAGTTTATTTATTTGGTAGATATACAGAGAGAGAGAGAGAGATCTTCCATCCACTGGTTCACTCCCCAAAAGGCCAGAACCACTAGGGCAGGGCCAGGCCAAAGCCAGGATCCAGGAGCTTCTTCAGGGTCTCCCATGTGGGTGCAGGGGCCCAAGGACTCAGGCCATCTGCTGATTTCTCAGGAACATTGGCAGGGAGCTGGATTGGAAGAGGAACAGCTGGGCCTCGAACCAGGGCCCATACGGGGTGAGGCCGTTTGGAGGGTGAATCAATGAATGGAAGACCTTTGCGTCTCCCTCAATCTGTCTGATTCTGCCTCTCAAAATAAATAAGTAAATCTTAAAAAAAAAATAATAGGCAAACACAGACACTATGAACACAGGCACTTACCCACGTGTGTACAGAAAAAGTCTGAGGGAAACGCAGTACCCGGCTGTTCCTCTGGGCGTGCACGCGGGGGCCGGGGAGGCTTCCTGTTACAGGCTGCATCCGCACTAGTGCTGGAGGTGAGGGGGTGCCTGGCCCAGCCCTGCTCCCCAAGGCGAACACGAGTAAGAGTGCTGGCTTTGCCTCCCGACCTTGGCTGAGCGCCCACGGGTGTTTATGTGTTCCCAGTGTCTGCGTTCGTTTACTGCTTAGAAGAATTGCTTTTTCTTAAAGATTTGCTTACTTGAAAGGCATAATTACAGAGGGGCAGAGGCAGAGAGAGAGGTCTTCCATCCGCTGCTTCACTCTCCAGTTGCCCACAACGGCCAGAGCTGTGCTGATCCGAAGCCAGCAGCCAGGAGCTTCTTCTGGGTCTCCCACGTGGGTGCAGGGGCCCAAGGACTTGGGCCATCTTCCGCTGCTTTCCCAGGCCACAGCAAAGAGCTGGATTGGAAGAGGAGCAGCCAGGACTCGAACCAGTACCCACGATGTGATGCTGGTGCCGCAGGTGGAGGCTTAGCTCACTACGTCACAGCGCCAGCTCCTAGAAGAGTAATTTTTTTTTTTTTTTTTTTTTTTTTTTTTGACAGGCAGAGTGGACAGTGAGAGAGAGAGACAGAGAGAGAAAGGTCTTCCTTTGCCGCTGGTTCACCCTCCAATGGCCGCCGCTGCAGCCGGCGCACCGCGCTGATCCTGGCAGGAGCCAGGAGCCAGGTGCTTTTCCTGGTCTCCCATGGGGTGCAGGGCCCAAGCACCTGGGCCATCCTCCACTGCACTCCCTGGCCATAGCAGAGAGCTGGCCTGGAAGAGGGGCAACCGGGACAGAATCCGGCGCCCCAACCGGGACTAGAACCCGGTGTGCCGGCGCCGCAAGGTGGAGGATTAGCCTATTGAGCCACGGCGCCGGCTGAGTAATTTTAAAATGTTATGAATTTGTTGGCTTTTCTGTGTATACAGCAGGCCTGCACTGTGTAGCTCCAGCTGACTCAGCGGCGGACGTCCCCGTCTGTGTATACAGCAGGCCTGCACTGTGTAGCTCCAGCTGGCTCAGCGGCGGACGTCCCCGTCTGTGTATACAGCAGGCCTGCACTGTGTAGCTCCAGCTGACACTGAGCGGCGGACGTCCCCGTCTGTGTATACAGCAGGCCTGCACTGTGTAGCTCCAGCTGGCTCAGCGGCGGACGTCCCCGTCTGTGTATACAGCAGGCCTGCGCTGTGTGGCTCCCGCTGGCTCTGAGCGGGGGACGTCTCCGTCTGTGTATACAGCAGGCCTGCGCTGTGTGGCTCCAGCTGGCTCTGAGCGGGGGACGTCCCCGTCTGTGTATACAGCAGGCCTGCGCTGTGTGGCTCCAGCTGGCTCAGCGGCGGACGTCCCCGTCTGTGTATACAGCAGGCCTGCGCTGTGTAGCTCCCGCTGACTCAGCGGCGGACGTCCCCGTCTGTGTATACAGCAGGCCTGCGCTGTGTAGCTCCCGCTGACTCTGAGCGGGGGACGTCCCCGTCTGTGTATACAGCAGGCCTGCGCTGTGTAGCTCCCGCTGGCTCTGAGCGGGGGACGTCCCCGTGCAGTGACCTGTTCTCTGCTTCGTCACTGCTGACTTGCGGGTTGTCGTTGTGCCGTCCTCCTTGGGGTGTCAGGTATGAGCACACGGCTGGCGTAGTGTGAGCCCCGTAGATAAGGGTGGGGCTCTCCTCACATGCCACAGCTCCCTCGCCCCACAGTGCTGAGCGGCGGCATCGTCCCCACTATGACTGCGTCACAGTCCAGCAGTTCTCTGGATGAAGGCTCAGGTGCCCCCCCCACTTCAGGTGCAGCATTCAGATGTTTGTGTGTGGAAGATGTCTAGAAAGGTAGCCTCCAAATTAAAAAGTAAATTCTTTTAATTATCTATTTGAAAGAGAGAGAGATCTTCATCAGCTGGTTCATTCCTGGAGCCTGGAATTCCACCCGCTCTCCCATGTGGGTGGCAGGGGCCCGAGTGCTTGGGCTGCACCCACTGCTTTCCCAGGCCAGAGCAGGGAGCTGGTCAGAAGGGGTTGTGGGTGCCACGGGCGCCGCTGGGCTCACCTCTCACTGCCATGTCCCAGAAACTGTGCAGTCTGCCTGTCCTGTCAGCAGTCAGGTGGACGCATTAACTGCTGAATTCTTTGTTTTTCTAAATATTTGAAGACATCCAAATGCCAGGTTCTTTCCTTTCTTTGGGCCCCAGAACTACTGTTCTCTTCAGAGTCCTGGAAGAAAGGGCCCCGCTGACTGGGTTCTTCTGTCCCCTGCAGGTGTGCTGTGGGAAGGGCCCCGCTGACTGGGTTCTTCTGTCCCCTGTAGGTGTGCTGTGGGAAGGGCCCCGCTGACTGGGTTCTTCTGTCCCTGTAGGTGTGCTGTGGGAAGGGCCCCGCTGACTGGGTTCTTCTGTCCCCTGCAGGTGTGCTGTGGGAAGAGGGGAAGGCGGCCTTGGAGCAGCTTCTCAAGTTCATGGTGCACCCCGCCATCTCCTCCATCAACCTGACCACAGCGCTGGGCTCCCTCGCCAACATCGCCCGCCAGAGACCCATGTTCATGTCCGAGGTGATCCAAGCCTACGAGACCCTGCACGGTGGGTTGATGGCCTCCCCTCGTCCCCACGGCCTGGCTGCTCGCTCTTGAGCAGATGTGAGCCAGGCGCTGTGCCCCAGAGCTTCCCTTCCGTCTGCCTGCACGTGGGCACGAGGGCGGGTTCCCTGGTCCGAGCTGGCGTTGGGCTGAGGGGCGTGCGGATGAAATGCGAGCTTTCTCCACGCTGACTCCATGCTGACTCCCACTGGGGCAGCAAGCACGACCGACTCCCAGCCCTCTGGCTCCAGGCTTCCAAGCATCCACATAGCAACCGCAGGGGTCAGAGAGCGTCTCTTTCCAAGGGGCGATGCTCATTGTTTCTGATTGGCCAAGCAAGATTATGAGCCTGTCTCTGAACCAATCACTGTGGCCAAGGGAATGTGGGGTTCTCGCTGGCACCCGGTCTGCTACCCACTTGGACCGAGAATGGAGACAGAATGGTTCCCTCAGAGCAGCAGGGGGGCATTGCTGGCTAAAGGGACAGTGGGGGCCAGGCGGGCTGCAGCACAGACGCGCCATTGCGCTGTGGGCCAGGGGGCGCGTGCTCCGCAAGGTGCCCGTGGACAGTCATTCTGGTAGCGGGGGAGGAGCCCAGCCACGAGCGGTTGCCGAGGTTCAGTGGGGGACTTGTGGAGGTGAAGGCGGTGCTTGTGGCCCTCCTGAGGAGAAGCCTTGGGCAACCCCGAACCAGAGGCGGGGGGACTGGGCCACGGCTTAGTGAAGGGGAGGGAGGGGTTTTGGCTGGCAGTGGTGGAGACCCCTTGTGTGCTTTAAGCCTCACGTGCGAGGGGACTGGTCACGAGGTCGATGCCTGCAGGACCGCTGCCCGGGGCTGGGGGTGGGAATCCAGACTGACAGGGCCCCGCGAGGCCTGTCCAGAGCCCGAGCTGCTGCTTCCCCCACAGCCAACCTCCCGCCGACGCTGGCCAAGTCTCAGGTGAGCAGCGTGCGCAAGAACCTCAAGCTGCACCTGCTGAGCGTGCTCAAGCACCCGGCCTCCCTGGAGTTCCAGGCCCAGATCACCACCCTGCTGGTGGACCTGGGCACGCCGCAGGCCGAGATCGCCCGCAACATGCCCAGCAGCAAGGACGCCCGCAAGCGGCCGCGCGACGACTCGGATTCTGCGCTGAAGAAGATGAAGCTGGGTGAGCTGCAGGCCCCGCGGGCTGCTGGGAGGCGGCCGGGCGCGAGCACCGTGCGAGGCTTGCTCAGTTAGGCCCTCTGCGAGTGTTTTACAGCGTGGTCCTTGGAGAAGTTCCTGAAAGTGGAAGTAAGAGGCAGACTTGCTCTAGTGAAAAATTCTTTGAATTGTAAACGTTTTCAGGGTTAGGCTTGCGACGCAGCGGGTTGAGCTGCTGCTTCGAACGCCTACATCCCGTGTGGCAGTGCCTGGATTCGGGTCCTGGCTTTGCTCTGATGCCTCAAACACTTGGGTCCCTGCCACCCACATGGGAGATCAGGCCCTGGATTGGCTGGCTGTTGTGGGCCTTTGGAGAGTGAACAGTGGATAGAAGATCTCAGTCTGTCTCTGTCACTCGTACCTTTCAAATAAATAAACATACATAAGTCAGATATTCTTTTTTTTTTAAGATTTATTTATTTATTTGAAAGGGAGAGTTACAGAGAAGCAGAGAGAGACGGGGAGAGAGAGGTCTTCCGTCCGCTGGTTCACTCCCCAGATGGCTGCGACGGCCTGAGCTGTGCCGTTTTGAAGCCAGGAGCCAGGAGCCTCCTCCGGGTCTCCCGTGCGGGTGCAGGGCCCAGGGACTTGGGCCGTCCTCAGCTATCTCCCAGGATGCTTTAGCAAGGAGCTGGATCACCAGTGCCAGACCCAGCGCTCCAGTGTGGGGTGCACGTGTGCTAAGTGGTGCCTTAACTTCTGGATCACCACGCCTCTCTCCCTTAACATTTTTTTTAATTTGTGCATGTACGGTTTCCAAAAAACTCATGACACGTGTTTATTATGAAAAACTAATCATAGGGGTTTTTTTTTGCACTACAGTAAGCTTAACCTTTGCTTCCATCTTTGAACTTTCTAAAATGCTTTTATATATAAAGCACTCCTTTCCTTTTATTTGTAAATAGATTTTCTTAAGAATATTTATTTATTATTTTTTTTAAGATTTATTTATTTACTTGAAAGAGTTACACAGAGAGAGAAGGAGAGGCAGAGAGAAAGGTCTTCCATCCGCTGGTTCATTCCCCAGATGGCTACAACGGCCAGAGCTGTGCCAATTCCGAAGCTAGGAGCCAGGGGCTTCTGGGTCTCCCACACCAGTGCAGGGGTCCAAGGACTTGGGCCATCTTCTACTGCTTTCCCAGGCCATAGCTGAGAGCTGGATCAAAAGTGGAGCAGCCGGGACTCGAACCAGCACCCATATGGAATGCCAGCACTGCAGGCGGCGGCTTTACCCACTATGCTGCCTTGCTGGCCCTAGATTATTTATTTATCTGAGAGGCAGAGTTATAGACAGATTGAGGGAGACACAGAGAGAGAAGTCTTCCATTTGCTGGTCACTCCCCTGATGACTGCTCTGGCCAGAGCTGCGCCGATATGAAGCCAGGGCTTCTTCCAGGTTTCCCCTGTGGGTGCAGGGCCCAAGGACTTGGGCCATCCTCCACTGCTTTCCCAGGCCACAAGCAGAGAGAGCTGGATTGGAAGTGGAGCAGACAGGACAGGAACCAGCGCCCATTATGGAAGCCAGTGCTGTAGGTGTAGGCTTAGCTTGCTATGCCAGTACGTCGCCCCACGTCCCTTTCTTGATGGCCTCACAGTCTCTGCTACACGGGTGCTTCAGCCTGTCTCTCATGACAGACTTAGTTTGTGTTCGCTTTTGGATGTAAAGATGCTGTGGTGTAACATTATTGCCTGAGTGCCCTCATGGAATGCATTCCTGGCGGTCAGATTCCTGGGCCAAAGGCTTTATGCACGCACTTACCTCTTGCCCACCAGTTTTATTGTTTTTTCAAACTGTTTTAGAATAATTTTTGAATTTACAGACAAGTTACCCAAATGGCCCTGAAATCTCCCGGGTTCGGGAGGGCTGGCTCTCCCGCCGTTCAGTTCACGCATCCTTCTAGCCTCACGAATCAGTGCCTCGGCCTTGCCTTGTGTTGTGTGACGCGGACACTGGGAGGAGGCCCTGCTGTAGCGGGGTTGGGGAGAGGAGGGTCCCCACCCAGCTGGGTTCATTGTCTCCCGTCTCATGATGGGTTCAGGTTCTGCACTGGGGCAGTGACGCCCTGGCCGCCCTGGGGCGCGGGACCTGGAGGCACGTCCTGTCAGGCTGTCCCTGTCCCGGTGACGCTAACGTGGCTCCCTCGGTTAAGGCCGTGTCCACCAGGCTTCTGACGTTTGTGGTGTCTAGTAGGCTGGGAGGGCAGACTTGGAACTCTGAAGGGCCTGCTCCTCTCCAGACACTCTCCCAGTGGTGTTAGCGCCCACCCGTGCTTGGCACCTGCACCCTTCCTGTGCCCACAAGCTGGCATTCTGCGGTGAGACTGAACTGTCTTCCCCTCCTGCTTTTTTTTTTTTTAAGATGTATTTATTTATTTGAAAGTCGGAGTTACACAGAGAGAGGAGAGGCAGAGAGAGAGAGAGGTCTTCCATCCACTGGTTCACTCCCCAACTGGCCACAACGGCTGGAGCTGAGCTGATCCGAAGCCAGGAGCCAGAAGCTTCTTCCAGGTCTCCCACACGGGTGTCCTGGAACCCTCCCCCTTGGCAGGGACCCAAATACTTGAGCCATCCATTGCTGCCTCCCAGGGTGCACATTAGCAGGGAGCTGGATCGGGGCGGAGCTGAGGCTAGACCCCAGGCACTCTGATGCGGCTGCTGGTGTCTCGAGGAGCGGCCCAGCGGCTGTGCTGAGCACTCGCCCCGGGAGATCCTTCTTTCCAAGCCAGACTGTTTGCCTCAGATCTGGCTCTCGGTGACAGGGTGGTTCTCTGCTTTGGAAACATGCACATGTCTACACGTAGGGTTTTTGTTTTGTTTTGTTTTGCACTCAGATATCAAGATGCTGCACTGCTGTGTGTCCCAGGGAGGACCGGGCAGTAGGAGCTTGTCCTGCAGCTCAGGCCGCCCAGCTAGGGCCACCGAGTGTTTACCTGGTCCTTGCGTGGCTCGGCGCTCGTCCCAGGGCCGGAGGAGGCCGTGCGTCTCTCTGTGTGTCTTGGCCACTGCCATTTCTCTGGCTGTTGCTCCTTTTCCTACGGCGGCTCAGCCCTCGCAGTGGCGGTCCCCATGCCTGTGGCTGCCGCGGGAGAGGCATGCGTTGGGGGCTTTCTGAGGCGGCTGCGTAACCGGTCACCGTGTTTCTGCCACTGTGTGTAAATCGACACCCTGCTGCCATCCCCGTGGCCCACGTTAGGAAATCCCGATGTACACGAGGCTTTCCCTCTGGCTCTAGCTGTGTGACCGGAGCCTGCAGCGCACTCAGCCAGCGACGCGGGAGGGCCTGCGCCGTTTCTCTGTGTGGAGCAGCGCCGAATCCCCTGGACATTTGGTCTTCGATGTGAGCCCCTAGGGGAGACACCCAGAAGTGGTGCTGCTGTGGCGACAGGGGCGTGCACACTCGAAGCAGGGTGTGCTGTCCGACGGCGCTCCCAGAGGCGTTTGTACGCAGCACGCCCCTCCTGCGACAGTGCAGGCTTCTGGGGTTTGCCAGCACATCAGCAGGAAGTGCGACCTGAACAGGTTTGGGGGTTGTACTTCCCAAGCTCCTGGTCAAAGACAGAGCCTTTTAAACAGTTTAAACAGTTAAGCGTGTGAATTGATTGGCTGACGTTGTCTTCCGGCTTCTTGAGATCGGCTCGAGGGGTATGGCTCATTCCCATTTCCCAGATGCAGAGAGCAGAGGCCCAGAGACAGGCAGTTGGCCAGGGTTGATGGCGCTTTGATGGCAGAGGCAGAGTTGCTGCCTGGATCTTCATCCACGGTGGGGCTGCCAGTCTGCTGGGCCTGCTGGACACGTGGGCTTCCTGGGAACGGGCTGGGTGGGGGCTGCTGTTCTCTCTAGAACCACATCCTGTTCTCTCTCCCGATCCTAGAGCCCAACCTGGGGGAAGACGACGAGGACAAGGACTTAGAGCCAGGCCCATCGGGGACCTCCAAGGCCTCGGCCCAGCTCTCAGGCCAGTCAGACACAGACATCACAGCCGAGTTCCTGCAGCCTCTGCTGACGCCCGACAATGTGGCCAATCTGGTGAGGCTGGGCGGTGTCAGGAACCCCGTGAATTGATGATTGGGATTGGGCATTGGGGGGCCAGGATGGCCGGCGCCTTCCTCAGATTCTCAGAGATATAGTGATCTGCGGGGCGGGCGCCAGCCTGCAGCCATGCCGGGCCCACATGTTCCCACTGGGCACTGGGGAGGAGGCCTCGTCCCAGGCCCAGCAGCAGCCACCCTCCGCCTCCCCTCCACCTGGGGACTCTGAGAGCAGAGTTGCTGTGTCAGTGGGATTTTGGTCACGGGGAAGTGAGAAGGAGTTTTCTCTCCGCTCAGATCTCTGGTGGCTTCAGGCCTGACAACGAGCCGCCGCCTGCTTCCCCCGCCCCGTATGTCCCCGGGCATTGCAGACTCAACATCTGAACGCACACTGGGAAATCTCCCCACACTCCCCTGCAGGCCTGCGGCCCTCCCACGCCCTCCTTGGCAGGCCAGCTTCCCAGATCCCAAGCCAGCAACCGGTGTTAACCTCTTCACTCTCCCCCTTCCGCCCAGCCCCTGCCCTGCTGTGGGCCCACCTGCACTTGCTGCCCGGCTCCGGCCACCTCCAGTCGCTGGCCGTGCGGAGCTTGCAGAGTTAGCTTCAGGCCACACCTCTGCTCTGACGCCAGCCGTGGTTCTCTGTTCACGCAGAATTTAAACTCAGCTCACCAGGGGAGGCCTCTGATCTTGGCTTCTGTGATCCTGTTGTACCTTTCTCAGCTTGTCTCACTCTGGAAAATCGTCCTCTTCACATTTGTTGCCAGGATGTTGGTGGTGTTGTGGTTTTTTTTTTTTTTTTTTTAAGATTTATTTATTTATTTGAAAGTCAGAGTTACACAGAGAAAAGAAAAAGAGAGGCAGAGAGAGAGAGATCTTCCATCCGATGATTCACTCCCCAGTTGGCCACAACGGCCAGAGCTGCGCCAATGTGAAGCCAGGAGCCAGGAGCTTCCCTGTGGTCTCCCACGTGGGTGCAGGGGCCCAAGGACTTGGGCCATCCTCCACTGCTTTCCCAGGCGATAGCAGAGAGCTGGACTGGAAGTGGAGCAGCCGGGACTAGAACCGGCGCCCATATGGGATGCCGGTGCTGCAGGCCAGGGGGTTAACCCTCTGCACCGCAGCACCGGCCCCGGTGGTTCTTTCACAGTTGGAGAAGCCCGGCTGTCTCTGGTGCAGGCCCCCTCTGCTTTGCGGTACCTCGCCATGTCCAGCCTTGCCTTGGACATACATGCTGGTTTTTTATCATTCCAAGAACTGGCTCTTTGTTTTGCTGATTCTTTTTTTTCCCTTTATTAAAATATTTATTTATTTATTTTGAAAGGCAGTGTTAGAGAGGGAGAGAGATCTTCTATCCACTGGTTCACTCCCCAGATGACTGCAATGGCCGGGGCTGGGCCAGTCCAAAGCCAGGAGCTTCTTCCAGGTCTCCCATGTGGGTGCAGGGGCCCAGGCACTCGGTGCATCAGCAGGGAGCTGGATCGGAAGTGGAGCAGCTGGGACTTGGACCAGCATTGCAGGCGGTGGCTGTACCCGCTGCGTCACAACACTGGCCCCTTGCTGATTCTTTTATAACCTTCTCTGTTGCTTTTATTGTGTTCTGGTAGTTTCTTTGAATGTTTGTCCCAAAGTTTCAAATTCAGTGCTTGGTTCATTAATTTTCAATCATCTTTTCCAATGTAAGTATTTTCAGGGTGTGTGATTTTCCATCTGAATACCATTTTAGCTGCATTCCACATACTTTGATATGCAGTAATTTCATTATCTTTCTGTTGTAATTATTTTATTATTTAATATATGCATTTAAGGTTTGGAATGTATTGAGCATTTAAAATTACCTTTCATTACCAATTCCTAAAATATGTGGGTGTTCTGGTAGGGTGCTGGGTTTTTTGTTTGCTTGCTTTTCTATTTTTAAATTTATTTTATTTGAGAGAGAGGTGCTCCATCTGATAGTTCATTCCCCCAATACGCCCAATAGCTAGAGCTGGGCCAGCTTGAAGCCAGGAGACAGGAGCTCCATGCAGGTCTCCCATGGGTGGCAGGGACCCGAGTACTTGCATTATCTGCTCCCTCCCAGGCAGGTTAGCAAGAAGCTGGATTACAAGTGGAGCAAGCAGGGGTCAAAGCAAGACTGACGCAGGCTGCAGCATCCCAAGCAGCAGTTCAGCTGAGAGAAAGGGAGAGACAGACACACACAGAGAGGTCTTCCATCCACTGGTTCACTCCCCAGCTGCCTCTAGTGGCCATGGCAGGTCTCCCACATGTGTGCAGGGGCCCAAGGACTTGGGCCGTCTTCCGCTGCTTTCCCCGGCGCATTAGCAGGGAGCTGGATTGAAATTGGAGCAGCCGGGACTCGAACCAGCATCACAGGCGGCAGCTTCACTCCACTGTGCCACAGCACCGGCCCCACCCCAGCTTGTTTTTAAGTCCATTTCCCACCCATCCAGTCTTCACTGAGCCTCT